AATATAATAATAAAAGTAATAAAACTTTCATAGCATTCCTGGATATCCTTTTAAAAAAGGAAATGTATTCCAAAGTTGCAGTAGAAATTTATGTTAATTAAATTTAAATATGTTTTGTCAAAATTAAAGACTTGGCATACAAGAAGCACTTTAATAAGGTTTAATTACCTTAGTACAATTGTGTTTTACAGGTAAAAAGAAACTCCTATATTTCCTAAACTCGTGTATTACTTATCTAGTGAATTCAAAAGTCCTTGTGATTTAAGTTTTACAGGATGTTGTAATTTTCAATGGATGTAATTAAAAATGTATTACTCTCTGACCAGGTGTGATCTTTTTAATCAGTGTGCCCCAAGCAGGATGTATTACTTTATAGTTTACCCCTTATCAGAAGAATTTATTCATTTCTTTAATTTTTTATCCCTTTTTAAAATATATATATATATCCCAAATTATATTAAGAATAGATATATTTCTGATATATTAAGATTAAACAATGTCAGTGACTTTGTTGGCTGTTGTTACCTCATTAAAAAGATAGTTATATTAGTAGTATATATATACATGAAACCTATGTAGTTTTATATAAAAATTTAGGAAAATCAAGTTTTGTTTAAAAAAACATATGCCAAACAAAAAGCACATTAATAAGGTTTTATAACCCTCAGTATAGGTGTGTTTTCAGGTAAACAAAGTTGTTCTATTTAACAAGACTCCGACTTTAAAATTAGATAATTTAACTATCTCGATTTGTTAAATCTGAGAATCATGTAAGGATGTAAAAATCTGTTTTTATATATGTATATTTTTTTATTTTATAGTGGCTTGTCAGTTAAAAGGAAAGTTATTTTAACAATTAAAATTATTAAAAGTAGAGGTTATTTGGTCGAGTATTGTTCAGACCTTTGGTCGAGTATGGTTCAGACTGAAAAATGAGGTCGAGAGCTGGTCAAGTATTGGTCGAGTACAGGTCGAGAATGGGTTAAGACTGTTTCAGACTGGTCGAGTAATCGTTCAGACTATTTTCAATAGCAAAGATAAGGGTTAAGTACAAATCAGTACAGTCGAGTATGGTTAAGACTGGGTCGAGTAATATTAAGTAAAATTCAGACCAATTCAGACTGGTCGAGTAAAAATCAGTACAGTCGAGTACAGATATAGGCCATTTCAGACTTTTACTGGTTTGTAGTATATAGTATTGCATCTATTTTCAGAATAGACCTAAGTCTCAAATAGCTGGGTTGCACATGATGTTTCTTAACATCTTTAAATCAAAGTGCTTGTGGGCACTGAAGGGTAAAGATTGCTTCATTTTGCATTTTTTCAAAATAAACCATTGAATTGTAAGTAGATAGGCAAATAATAAATTTGAGCTGAAGTTATCTTATTTGTTGATGATTGTACATTTGTAGTGTCTATTTTTATAACAGATTCATACACCATGAATTACTTATGTATTTTTCAATAAAGAAAGTTTTCTTGACAAGTATGGCAATTCAAATACATATCATATTGTAACTTGAATATCTCATTAATAAATCGAATGACATTGACTGGAGGATCTAAAGAATGATCACTTCACTGCACCATTTTGATTGAACTTTCATAGGTGGTGATAAACCCAGGAAGGTTTAGATATAAGTCAGTACCACAGGGTTTTGATTGCAATTCATACAATCTTTACCAAAAAATGAAGAATGGTCTATACTGAACATTTTAAAAATATATGGACATTTAAATGGGCAAAATGGGTGGAAATCTTTAAACAACTCCATAATGAAAGTTGCACAACCTCAAAAGGTTTGCAAACATTCCGTGATGTTGATAACAAAAATTTTGTAAATATTGTTGAAAAATTAGTCTGAAGTGTAGAAAAATTTGAAAAATTCCCGAAACAATTCCATAATAGCAGGTGCACAATTTCGATAATTGTAAAACTCATTCTGTGAAGTTTCAAGGATCTGGGTTGAAAATTGTAGGACTTGATTACACTAAATTCATTGGTAATGTCTAATGTAAATTTTTGTTGAAAAATTACTAAGTTCCAAAGTACGGAAATAAATGAGGAATGTGTCCATGGGACACAGATGATGCCCCCGTTTGCATATAACGTTATAAAGGGACATAACTCAAGAACAGTAAAAGTGACGCTACCCAAATTCGTACTTTATCTGAGTTTTGTGGTAATAAGCATTGTGTATAAGTTTCATAAGATTTGGTTGAAGCAATACAGAAGTTAAAAAAAAAATCAAATTTTTCTTTGGATGCTTTTTCTTGATCTTGAAGATTAGCTTCTGTCCAAGTTTCATAACAATCCATGAAGGTTTACAAATTTATCATGTAAAAAAAAAAATTATCCCAGACTGTCTGTAAATGTTAACTGTAAAAACGAAGTCCATCTATCAGAAAAATACTAAAAATGAAAAAAACATATTTGCAAAGGTTTGCTTCAGACATTATCTCTTAATCATTAAAGTTTCATAAAACTCTATGAAGGTTTGACAAAGTAATTGATGTGTAAAAAAAACTTTAACCCCAGACTGTATTTACTTGTTAACTGTATAAAAACTAAGTCCATTTATCAGTAAAATATTTTCAAAATTTTGGATACTGTATTTTGGTCATAAACAAGCTTCTATCCAAACCAAATAAATTTCCATGAAGGTTTGACAAAATTATGGATGATTGAAAAACTTTAACCTCGAGACTGAGCCTGAGCCTTAACTGTAAAATAAACTGTTATCACAGAGATATGTCTCGCCTTTTTGTAATTTTGATAATACAAATGTTGAAATTAAAATAGCAATACTTTAACATGTAAGTTATGCAAATATTCAAAGTCGATGAACCATGACTGAAGGTACATGGCTAAACAATCTCCATGGAATGAGATGTGCCAATGCTAATACAACTGCATACCAAATACCATTGACTTATTATAAGTCTTTCCCTTTAAACAAACCTAAACACAAACATTAACTTGTAAACTATGTAAAAGTTTCAAAGTCAATGAACCATGATCAGGGGTGGGGCTATATAATCTCCATGGAAACGAAACTTGCAAATGCCAATAAATTTGCATACCAAATATCATTGACTTAACATTAGCAGTTCATCTTAAACTGATCTAATCACAAACTAATACATTTAGTATTAGGGTGGGGGACCAAATAATCTCCATGGAAATGAGATATGCCAATGCTTATACAACTGCATACCAAATATCATTGACCTAGCACTAGTGGTTCCCCATAAATTGACCTAATCACAAACTAATACATGTAAACTATGAAAAGTTTCAAAGTCAATAGACCTTGACTGAGGGGGCAGGGCCAAATAATCTCCATGGTAATGAGATGTGCCAATGCTAATACAACTGCATACCAAATATCATTGACCTACCACTAGTGGTTCACCATGAACTAGACCTAATCACAAACTAATACATTGTTGACAACGCCGCCGACGCTGGAAACAGCATACCTATGTCTCGCATTTTGACTCCGTCAAGGCGAGACAAAAACTTAGTCCATTATCAGTAAAATATGGAAAAATTGAAAATAAATATTTTAAAAATTTTGCTCTGAATACTTTATTTTGGTCATAAACAAGCTTCTGTCCAAATTTCATAAAATTCCATGAAGGTTTGACAAAGTAAATTTTATGGACACAATCACGAGTTGGTTGACCGTTATGGAATAACCGTTTCACAGATGATATCAGATATGTTCCTTATGTCGTAACTACAATACTCATCCCTTTTCACGAATGTGACCTACCGAATTAGACTATTTACCGGATTTGTAATAACATTAGCAACACGACGGGTGCCACATGAGGAGTAGGATCTGCTTACCCTTCTGGAGCACGACAATTGTTATCAAAAGTGAACCTTGTACTTAATATTTACCATATGGCAAAATTTGGAGACTTTGCTAATTGGCAAAGCCGTCATGTTGTCTTAACACGAGGACAGCTATTATAATAGGATTATATCCTTTAACTTTATGTTCCGCTATATAGATGATGTTCTCTCACTAAATAGGATACTACAAATACAGTCAAGTCTGCCTCATATCTTGACTTACATCTAGAATTTGACAATGATGGTCGGTTGAAAACAAAACTTTACGACAAAAGAGATGAATTCAGCTTCCCAATTGTGAACTTTCCATTTCTATGTAGCAACATTCCAGCAGCGCCTGCATACGGATTATATATCCTCCGATTGATACGATATTCCCGGGCTTGTATTTCCTATCATGATTTCCAAATGGTGAAGTTGAAATCATCCCTTCGTAAATTTTACGGACGCCATCACGAGTTGGTTGATCGTTATGGAATAACCGTTTCACAGATGATATCGGATATGTTCCTTATGTCGTAACTAAAATACCCTTCCCTTTTCACGAATGTGACCTACCGAATTAGACTATTTTACCGGATTTGTAATAACATAAGCAACACGACGGGTGCCACATGTGGAGCAGGATCTGTTTACCCTTCCGGAGCACCTGATATCACCCCCAGTTTTTGGTGGGGTTCGTGTTGCTTAGTCTTTAGTTTTCTATTTTGTGTCTTCTGTACTATTATTTGTCTGTTTGTCTTTTTATTTTTGGCCATGGCGTTGTCAGTTTGTTTTTGATCTATGAGTTTGACTGTTCCTCTGGTATCTTTCGTCCCTCTTTTATGGATGACTGAAAAACTTTAACCTCAGACTAAATCTGAATGTTAACTGTAAAAAAAAAACAAGGTCCATTTATTAGTAAAATACAGAAAAATGAAAATAATCACTTTCAAAATTAAGTTCTGGATACTGTATTTTAGTCATAAACAAGCTTCTGTCGAATTTCATAAAATTCCACGTAGGTTTGACAAAGTTATTGATTTCTAAAAAAGTTTTGAACCACAGACTGAACCTAAATGTTGACATAATCTAGGATCGCTATGTCTCTCTTTGGCGAAATAAGTTTTGCAGGCTCAACAAAAATGACAAGAAACAGATTTTTGTCTTTTTATTTCTTTTTCATATTTTTCTTCCATAGAATAAATATACATAATATCAATAAAGATATAAGACTAAAACCAATCACTCTACATTTCTATATTTCACAGACACCTGTATTATCTGATGGAAATGTTTATATTAGATATATACAAATCTTAAATAAAATATTGCTGGATCCATAATCTGATATCAATAAAATAATTTAAAAGGCTAAGATCAAAGCTCATAAATTCAATAATTCCTGTAGCTAACCAATAGGTATTGTATAAAGGCTGTGTTTTATATAAAAATAAGATGTGGTGTGATTGCAAATAAGACAACTCTCTTCTAGCTGGAGATCACAGGACGAGGATGTAAGGAACAATGGTTTTTGTGAAATGCCCCATCACAGCAACAATTAAAAAGTGTTCACAATTGCTCAAGTAATCTAGGTTTTCCAAATATTTCAATAAAACTAAGTCCCCATTTTATATTTGCCTAATAAATCTAAAGTCTGCAGTTATATTCATTCATGTCAAATAATTTAGAAAATCAACAAATTCTTGGTGACTTCTCAATATTTTTGTAGAATCCTTCAGTTTTGGAAAATGGGTAGAAACTAATCTCAAACATCTATATTGATACATTCTAATTTCAAATGATGTCAAGGAATAATATACATTTCTTAAAAAATCAACATGAATACTGAAAATTCATCTATCAATGTGCTGTTTTTTCTTATCAATAATAATAGTTTTTAATATATTTTTAGGTTAAGTCAACTTTAAACACTTTTTATTTATAAATCAGCATATATTTATTCCGAATTTATAGTATGCAAATCTTTGATTGTTTAAAAATCATTGTAAGTTTTGTACTTCTGTATTGAAATCAGAAAATGGTCCAGCATGAATCACATAATTATCAATATTAAATCGCAACAACATGACCTAATCACTATTGGCTACTCTCACCAAAATATGTATCATTGTAACAAAATCTTAACAATAGGCAACATGACATTAAAAACAAGACTTAACAAAAATAAGGAATTCTCACCAATTTGATACAAAACATTCAACATGGCAAAACGAGTAGGAGGTATTTTTTAAGAATTAAATACATCTGGAAGCTTATATTCATACTTCTATCATAAAATAACAGACATAAAGTATTATTGCTTTATACAGTTTATATAAACTATTGTTGTACATGTTGATTTACTTTCACTACATTGATCAATTTTGGAGAGAAAAAATCATTTTTGTACAAGTTCTCTACTGGTTTCCTGTTTCTACAGGTTTTCTGGTAAAACAGAAACCAGTTCTATTGGGTCACACTTGCAAAATTTATCAGAGAGAAATACTTTAATATCTTAAAAAAATTTTTTTTACTGTAATCAAAATTATTTTAACAAAGCTTCTTATACATTGCTTTCCGTAATATTGATGGAAATAACAATATCATTTATCCAGATGGCCACAACTAATATAATTTCATGGAGGGAATAATGTTTTACAACATATTTATAACCTACTAAATCCATAGACTCTGAAGCCTAAATAAAGAGTCTTTTCTCCTGGAACAAATGTACATTACACAATCTTCTACACAGTGACAGCAAAACAAATGGTATGCAAGCACAAAAAGCAGAGATTCTACAGGAAAAAGCATGAAATTTCATATGACAAGAATTTTGTTCATTTCAATGAAGTTAAGTGTATAAGTATGACTTTATTTTTGCTGATACAAATTTTCATGGTTTGATAAAAAAAATATTGGGATCTTGATAATCTATTCTACCAAGACAATTGAAAATAAATAAAAGGAAATGTGGGGTATTACATCAATGATATAGCAATCTTTATTTATTCATGTTTGTGTTTTTAGTTTTTAAAATAGCTAGGAGTATCTAAAATGTTTGATATCAACATGATTTGATATATTCTACTAATTTGTTGATATAACAATTAGATTCCTTTTTAAAATTCACTAAAAAAAAAGCTTTCAAACAGCATTTTTCCCCTACATCACACGGTCTTTCATGGTATGCGTGTCTTAAATTCTATGGCCTAAATTGCATGAAAAAAAAATCTATTAGCCATAATGTTTCCCCATTCAGCAAAAATATTGTAAACTTAACATGATAGCATGAAAGGCATCTGCTAAAATAATTAGAAATGAAAAACAATTGGTATTGGAAATAAACTGATGATAAATTCCTATGGCTGTTACCTACCATTATTTTAACCTTGCACTTTTGAAAATTTTGATGGAAACAAGATTTAAATTGTTAATAATACAGACAAACCTACCACTGTATCAAACAGACAATTTATACTTTTTTAAGTTGAAATGACCTTAAGCTAAAAAATTCTGACTTAAAAAAAAAAAAAAAATTCTAGGACTTACTCCTCTTTAGTTCATGTCTTACATGATGTTTTACATGAATTACGCAAAAATAATTATTTTCAAATTCATTACCTAATTAATCATAAATTAATAAAACCCAAACTCTTGATTTGCTTTTTCACAACATAACACATACGAAGTTAATATAAGGGCAGTCTTTTTTTTTTTTAAACTTCTATATAAATCTGTTTAACTTTGGTAAAATTCATAACTTTTCATTCTAAACCATGTTTCAAGACATGGTTTGTCACTGAACATAATCAATAATAAGTAAGCTTGACTCAAGTCTAAAGACATTTTTTGTTTACCAATCAGAAACAACCACAGAATTATCCCAGTTTATAAAAAAAAATATACAAATATACTTGTATAACACATCGAAACTCAAAATTGAAAAAAACTACATGATAAATATGATTTCTAAATTCATGATAAAATGAACCAATATAGCTCACATTAAGTCATTTATTAAATTTTCAACTATAAAAAAACATTTACTTCAAAATAACAATTACTCCACATCCATTCATGACCAGCTTAAAATGTGCAAAGACTGTCCCGACTTTTTTGTTAAAATTTTCAGAGATCTTTGTTCTTAGCATGAATAATAATGCTTTCAATGTAAATATTATCATTGCTGTCTAGACATTTTGAGTAACTGAGTAACTGGAACCAGTTCTTTTTTAATGAGTGACAGTTCTATTTAAATCCTAAAGAAAATATAACAGTCTTCTTTTTTCATAAATCCAAGCAGATATAACATTATTTTCCCTTTTCCATATACAATGTCAGAGAACCTTGTTTTCAGAATATGATGTCAAGAAATCTTATTTTTAGAATCTAATGTTAAAGAACCTTAATCATAGAACCTTAATTTCAAAATCTAATGTCAAAGAACCTTAATCATAGAACCTTAATTTCAAAATCTAATGTCAAAGAACCTTAATTTAAGAATCTAATTTTCAAAGAACCCTATTTTCAGAATCTAACAGTTTTGCTTAAATTGTGTATGGGCTCAAACTTCCACTTAAATAAAAGTTCTGGCATAGTATTCAAATATTTAACGATTATCATTACAATATAACTTTGTTTACCTTTTTTAATTATAAAATTGTTATGTAAAAACTGACACAGCTTTTTAATATCAAACCAAAAGACTGAAAATTTTAACAATTAGACAGAACAGCTTTCTGTGAAGTGACATATGAGAGAAAAAACCTGGGAATCAATATTGTAACAAACCAAATTCGCAATTCAAATGTTTTCATTTCTTCTTACTAATATCAAACTTTATATGTGCGGTCAAATCCTCATTCTTCCAAATTTGAGTGATTCAATCTGTTATGTAAAGAGATCAATGTTACACTGTTAGCGCATAATAACATTTTATCAATACATAATCTTTTGTTAAAACTTACTAAAAAAAAATTATGGAAAAAAAGTGTTTTTTAAATGATATCAAATTTTTGTCATTCCTTAAATTTTATCTTCATGTATTTGTTCAAATTAAGTGCAGTAAAAATAAAATAAGCAATATTTGCCCTATCCAATACATCACTATTAAATGCTATTACTATTATTATTTCATTCAATAATTTCTCTTGTTGTTTTATGCATCAAAATTTAGACAAAAATACTGAAAAAAAGTCTACATATCATAAAAATTCATTTCATTAAAATTAAAAGATAAAGGTACAGTATTAACTAATAAAACTTTGTAAAAATCCAAGTTTAAAGTTTAAACTTTCAAATAAGAAAATATTAAAGTTGAAATTATTTCTACCCTTTTCAACACCTGATTGTTTTATTCTAATAATTACAAAGTTAATTTTGCAATTGAACATGTACGTTACTTTGCAAAGTTGAAAGACAAAAATCTTTTAACAGTTTTAAGTTTTGGGGGACATTTCAAAGCACTAGTTCAAAACATTTATCACAGCATAATTATATCAAATGAAGAAATTTAATACTATCCATCAAAGCTTACATAGGCCACACATAAAATATAGTGTTTGCATCAAAAAAATGTGCGAGTCTTCCAAGGAAGGCATGTGATGCCTGTCAATCACCAAATAATATAACTAGAAATGGTGAATTCCATGTTTTTCGTAAGGGGAAACCTCAAAATCACTCAGATTAAAAAATTCAAATAGAAGATGCACGACTTCATATCCTGTAGAAGAATATGTGTATTGTGTAAGTTTGGTGGAATATTGTTGTGCCATTTTCAAGGTTGTTTTGGTATGGGAAACCCCCATTATTAAAGTGTGACGTGGATGACGATGACCCAAGATGACATAAGTTATCCCTATGTTTTCTTTTTTCCTACAACTTTGATGTACAGCGACACAAACATGTTGCTAACTGTGCTCAGAATTTGAAAATTTACAGAAATATTAAACATTATTATTTCAATTTTTTTTTTAAGACTGCTATAAACAACTCAATTTTCCAGGTTTTGTTGTTAGATATGAACTAAAATATAAGAATATTAAAAGGAGTAAGAATCTTACATTTCGTATTACAATTATACTTCATTCAAAACATTTCCTGAAGACCTGCATAACAATTTCCCAGGTTAACATGTTCTAAAAATAACACCAGGTCAGATAACATCCCCTTGTTTATCATTAAAAATGGTACGAATGTTTTCAAAGCACAATTTATGTTTATTATTGATGGATTAAAATAACAGGGAATTTTTTAGTTAGTTCCATCATTATAAAAAATATGCATTTTTGTGCAATTATCAGAAATTATTATTGTTTTATAAAGAGCTTTCCTATATAGGAATTTATATGATTTGTGAAGGTTTAACTGTTAATACCCTAGTGTCCAAAAAATGTTGGTTTATTTCTCAAATAAGAATGGTGGAAGTTGGTTTAATAGAAAAATAAATATATTGTTAACCATTCACAATAACTTAAATTTTTTCAAAGTGAATAGCAACAAACCAAAAATTCCTTATTACAATGCTGTAATGGAATGGAAAAAACCTTGTTCGTGTATAAAAAATCTGAATTTGGAGAAGCCTGCTCCAATAAGATGTCAAAAAACATTTTACACACATTGTCATAATAACAGCTGAAAATAATCTTTCCATCTATCAATAAATTCACCATCTTAAACAACAACAAACAACATATTATATGAAGCAACAAGGGGGACAAGCAATAAACAGCATTTTCACTTTCACTTGGTGTTAAATTTAGAACTGATGCAATATGGGATGATGAAATCTTATGACAAAGCTATGGTTACAGTTCCATGTCTTGAGCTTCATCTTCTGAGAAATCACTCATAGAACTTTCACTAGATGATGACTGGTGTTCATGTTCTCTTAATGCTTCTTCTGTTGCATATTTCTTTACATATTCTGAAAATAGAGAAAATTGTTGTTTTTTAGTAGAATAATTTAGAATCTAATAATATATATAGTACCAATCTTACTGCACCAGATGTGCATTTGGACAATTAATATCTCTTCAGTGATGCTCGAGGCCAAAATATTTAAAAATCCAAAACCTAATACAAACGTTGAGGAGCTATAAGTACCAACAGATTTACACAATTTCACAACAGTCAATTTTTATTAAGACTGATTCATTGTAGGTGTTTAATGCCACTTTTGAATATATCATGGCGGTCAGTTTTATTGGTGGAGGAAGCTGGTGTGCCCAGAGAGAACCACCAAGTTCAGCAAGAAAACTGACTATCCTATTCAAATAAGATTGGATTGGAATGCACCTCTGCCTCATGCAAGATTTGAACTTATACAACCTCAGTGTTGGCATGGTAGTGATACAGTAGATGGACAACTTAAGACCATCTTGCCACTGAGACCCCAGCAGAAGTAAGAGAGTGCCAGGTAATCCCTGAACATTGATAAGAACATATAAATTCTATCACATACTGAATATACATGAAAACTGTGTGTATACTATACAATCTTTCATTAAATTGAAAACAACTATTTACTTAGACGTTGGAACATTCACACTATTTCACGAGGAGTACCACCAAAAAACAATTCTTATCATTTGATCTTAATCCTCTAATAATAAAAAAGAGATTGATTTTAGTGTTTTACTTAAACTGAACCTATATAAATGATAAGGACCAAATTTGATTTAAACTTGTTACGTTAAGTTAAACTTGTTAAGTTATTTATGAGGTTTTTTCTATTTAAAGTTTACAAATGAAAGCTGGGCAATGACAGTTAAGTGGTAGCAATGATCAAAATTGAATCTTTGCCTAAGTTAGGATTAAGTAGAAAAGACCCCTTTATATTCAGTAAGATTAAAAGATAGAATATGTTGCGGAGGTGATTTCAGGTAAGGATCTAAGAAGCATACAAATCTGGTCCCAGATATTTAAAATAATACCATAAGAGACTTTATTGTACTGCTACCCCACTCAGCCATTTTTCTTTTTAGATTGTACTAATTCTAATTTAAATTCCATTATGCTGGATGTTCTGATCTCACAGAAGCTATTCAGAGCTCTATAGCAATTGAAAGTACCAGTAGACAGTTCTAACATTTTTTTCTACAAACCTGCAACCTTCTTCTTGTATTCTTCTGGTTTATGTAAATACATTGAGGCAGCATCACCATTAAGTGGATCGGTAGGGTTAGGGTAAGTTAACAACTGTGGGAGAAAAGACTCGAAGATATTGGACAGATCTGAAAAGACAAACATAAAAGTTAAAAATATTTAAGTACAAATGTGTTTTCATTTTTTGTACTAATCTCTAGATTTTTTATATCGATATTTCAATAATAATTTTATTTCTGATTTTTATATTTTAGACATAACTTTCAAAAAAAGGTTTGCTTCAGAGTGATATAAAATAAATGATGCAATGCTACAGAGACTGGAAACCTTTACTCTACCAAGAGGTATGCCTGTAATGATTTTAATTAAGGTTGATACTAGAGTATAAGTCAATCTACTTGTTAGTGCTAGATCTAAGAAATTTACCAGCTGGCCATAGATAAAAATTTTAAGATTATCAAATATATAATAGGCATTTATTTTTTATTTAAATGTTTCTGAATAAAATGATAATAAAGATGATTTTCTTTTTTAACTTTCTTTTGATGTACAGGTTAACTTTATTTTATATACTTTTTTAAAAATGATAAATTGATCAAATATTCAGCAGAATTCAATAATTCAACAAACAACATGATTCAACTTTGGTCTTTTCTGTGATTGTGTCTGGACCTATGTCATATGGTGTTGTTTTGAAAAACAGACTTCAGCGCCAAAAACATGAAAAAATTCTTATCAGTAATATTTTCATCAGTCGTCACATTTGCAACCAAACAAAATGCATGAATATGATAGCAGTGTCAATTAGTTCCCTTGATAGTTCAGAAAATTCTCATGACTTCAGATATAAAGCAATGATATTAGTAGAGAAAAATTCAATTAGGCCACACAGATGTGTACTTTTACCTTGAGAATATAAGTGATATAATTGGAAGACAAGCAGAGCAGCATTTATTTGCACTTCCACAAAAGTGTACAAGTAACTGCAGAAAATTTTAAGTAAAAATTTCCATTTGGCCAAAAACTAAAAATTTGAATTATGTTGAAGAAAAACTGTTGCAGTTATGCACAATGCAAAGTAGGTACATGTATCCTATATATCATTCCTTATCAATAATGACTAACTTCAACATGTGAAAACCTCAGGAAAACTAATCCAAATCTGTCCAAATACGGAAGTGCACCTCTTGAATCTGTACATGCAATAACTGTCCAAAGTTTAAATAATGTTGCCAGATAACAATATTAGAGCAAAGCATGAGACAAACAAGGTTTGTTTAAGATGACTTTGGCAGAGAAAGAGAGAGAGAGAGAGTTAAAAGAGAGAAAATCTTAGTAATAGTACAATGAACTGGAAATTTACAGACCAAATGTACATTTAAAATTTGCACATACTACCTGGGAAATAGTAACCACAGTGATCTTATGTCCAGCAGTAGTATTACAAGAAACAGATGCTTTGAATGATTTAATTGCCATAACCTTTTTGTCGTTTCTGTACATCATCTTAGAATTTTCAATCCAAGTACACTTAATCAATTCACCTCAGTCTCAAAAAGCCAGATATTTACTTACATTACTTACAAATATAAAATAATTATTTTTAAAACATTATGTACCCGTAGTATAAATCTTATCTTACCATATAAAGCAGTCCATGCTTGGTTAATGACATCTAAACATACAGAGCCAGATCTATAATATAAAATAAACTGTTAACACAAAGATATGTCTCGCCTATTTGTTATTTTGATAATGCAAATGTTGAAATTGAAATAGCAATACTTTAACATGTAAGTAATGCAAATATTTAAAGTCAATGAACCATGACTGAAGGTACAGGGCTAAACAATCTCCATGGAAATCAGATGTGCCAATGCTAATACAACTGCATACCAAATACCATTGACTTTTCATAAGTCATTCCCTTTAAACAAACCTAAACACAAACATTAACTTGTAAACTATGCAAAAGTTTCAAAGTCAATGAACCATAATGATGGGGTGGGGTTATATAATCTCCGTGGAGATGAAACTTGCAAATGCCAATACATTTGCATACTAAATATCAACGAATTAACATTAGTGGTTCCTCTTAAACTGACCTAATCACAAACTAATACATGTAAAAGTTTCAAAGTCAATAGACTGTGACTGAGGGGTAAGGACCAAATATACTCCATGGAAATGAGATGTGCTAATGCTTATACAACTGCATACCAAATATCATTGACCTACCACTAGTTGATCCCCAAAAACTGACCTAATCACAAACTAATACATGTAAACTAAGCAAAGTTTCAAAGCCAATAGACCATGACTGAGGGGGCAGGGCCAAATAATCTCCATGGTAATGAGATGTGCCAATGCTTATACAACTGCATACCAAATATCATTGACCTACCACAGTGGTTCACCATAAACTATACCTAATCACAAACTAATACATTGTTGACGCCACAGCCGGAAACAGCATACCTATGTCTCGCTTTTTGACTCGGTAAAGGCGACACAATAACTACCTAAAATGACAGGACAAAATCGCACAAGCCTTTCTTCAATCTTAAAACCATCTTTGAAAACTTGGTAAAGCTTTTCATTTAAAAGTTACAAACCTAAAAACTGGTTTGAAACTAAACCATTCAATTAGTAAATGAAAACAAACTTTCAAAAACATCAATATTGCAAACTCACTGTATACAAATTTTCCCAAAGCTCTTTAAATATAATAAATGGAGAATGTGTCCATGGGACACAGATGATGTCCCCACTTGCATATAACATTATAAAGGGACATAGCTAGAGAACTGTAACAGTGACACCACCCAATTGGATTTTGATCTGAGTTTTGTGGTAATAGGCATTGTGTATAAGTTTCATAACATTTGGTTGAGGCAAACTAAAGTTAGAGAATTGAAACCAAAAATTCAGCATTTTTTCCATTTGTAAAGGGACATAACTCTAGAAAGGTAAAAGTGACGCCACCTAAATTCAAACTTGATCTGTATTTTGTGGTAATAAGCATTGTGTGTAAGTTTCATACCATTTGGTGGAGGTAAACTTAAGTTAGAAAACTAATTTTGGGATGTACTTACCTATGGATGGACATACAGACAGACAAGGGTAACACTTAATGCCCCCTCTGTGGCAGCAGAGGCATAAAAATAAGGTATGAATGCCAATGAGCCAACTATCTGCTAGAGTTCAAATGAAGTGGATTTATGCAATTATAGAGAATTATAGGGAAAAGTCTGATGTTTATATGTATTTTAAGAAACAAGGTAAAAAAAGGGGAATTGGGCCCAAATTTTAGGAGGCTCCTCTTTTTTTTTATCATGTAATAGGATTAAAACCTTTTGAACTTTTTCAACCCTGATTTATAAGAACTCCTGGATCTGCTCTTGTGTATAATAGTTATAACAAGCATTCTGAGAGTCCCCTACCAATTAAAAATTCATTGTACTGGAACAAAATATGACGAAAAATAGTGAGGAAAACTGATTATTTGAGTGAATTTTCTAATTCCAAGGACCATATCTCTGCACAAAATCATCAGACAAGAACAAAATTCGAAATTTATCTGTAACTTGTCATGATAAAACTATATACCAATTATTAAATAAATATCTTCAAGCATGACGAAAAAAATTAGAGAAAACTGATTATTTGAGTGAATTTTCTAAGTCCAAGGGCCATAACTCTGCACAAAATCATCAGACCAGAACAAAATTCGAACTTGATCTGTACCTTATCATGATAAAACAATACACCAAATATCAAATCAATATCTTCAAGGAAGAAGAAAATAAAATGCTTCGCTGGGCGCAGCTTGATACGACCGCAGAGGTCGAACCCTGAACAGTTGGGGCAAGTATGGACACAACATTCAAGCTTGATACAGCTCTGAATTTGGATTGTGATTAAATATTTGACACAGCATAGGTTCTGACACAGAAAGAATGTGGTCTAAGAACTTCAATTTTTTTAATTTACCTATTATGGTCCAATGTCCAAAATCAAAATACATGGTTAGATTCAGCATATCAAAGAACCCCATATATTCAATTTTTGTTGAAATCAAACAAAGTTTAATTTTGGACCCCAACTTGAACAAACTTGAAAACTGGTCCCATAATCAAAAATCTAAACACATGTTTAGATTCAGCATATCAAAGTACCCCAAGAATTCAATTTTTGTTAAAATCAAACTAAGTTTAATTTTGGACCCTTTGGACCTTAATGTAGACCAATTTAAAAAACGGGACCCAAAATTAAAAATCTAAAAACACGGTTAGATTTGGCATATCAAAGAACCCCAATAATTCAATTTGATGAAATCAAACAAAGTTTAATTTTGGACCCTTTTGACCTCAATATGAACCAATTTGATAGCGGGCCCACAAAATAAAAAATCTAAATACATGGTAAGATTCAGCATATCAAAGAACCCCATATATTCAATTTTTGTTGAAATCAAACAAAGTTTAATTTTGGACCCCAATTTGGACCAACTTGAAAACTGGGCCAAAAATCTAAAATCTAAATACATGTTTAGATTCAGCATATCAAAGAACCCCATATATTCATTTTTTGTTGAAATCAAACAAAGTTTAATTTTGGACCCCAACTTGGACCAACTTGAAAACTGGTCCCATAATAAAAAATCTAAACACATGTTTAGATTCAGCATATCAAAGAACCCCAAAAATTCAATTTTTGTTAAAATCAAACTAAGTTAAATTTTGGACCCTTTGGACCTTAATGTAGACCAATTTAAAAAACGGGACCCAAAATTAAAAATCTAAATACACGGTTAGATTTGGCATATCAAAGAACCCCAATAATTCAATTTTTGATGAAATCAAACAAAGTTTAATTTTGGACCCTTTTGACCTCAATATGAACCAATTTGATAGCGGGCCCACAAATAAAAAATCTAAATACATGGTAAGATTCAGCATATCAAAGAACCCCATATATTCAATTTTTGTTGAAATCAAACAAAGTTTAATTTTGGACCCCAATTTGGACCAACTTGAAAACTGGGCCAAAAATCTAAAATCTAAATACATGTTTAGATTCAGCATATCAAAGAACCCCATATATTCAATTTTTGTTGAAATCAAACAAAGTTTAATTTTGGACCCCAACTTGGACCAACTTGAAAACTGGGCCCATAATCAAAAATCTAAACACATGTTTAGATTCAGCATATCAAAGAACCCCAAGAATTCAATTTTTGTTAAAATCAAACTAAGTTTAATTTTGGACCCTTTGGACCTTAATGTAGACCAATTTAAAAACGGGACCCAAAATTAAAAATCTAAATACACGGTTAGATTTGGCATATCAAAGAACCCCAATAATTCAATTTTTGATGAAATCAAACAAAGTTTAATTTTGGACCCTTTTGACCTCAAAATGAACCAATTTGATAGCGGGTCCACAAATAAAAAATCTAAATACATGGTTAGATTCAGCATATCAAAGAACCCCAAGAATTCAATTTTTGATGAAATCAAACAAAGTTTAATTTTGGACCCTTTTGACCTCAATGTGGACAAAGTTGATAACGGGGCCCAAAAATCAAAAATCTAAATACATGGTTAGATTCAGCATATCAAAGAACCCCATATATTCAATTTTTGTTAAAATCAAACAAAGTTTAATTTTGGACCCCGATTTGGACCAACTTGAAAACTGGGCCGATAATCAAAAATCTAAATACATGTTTAGATTCAGCATATCAAAGTACCCTAAAAATTCAATTTTTGTTAAAATCAAACTAAGTTTAATTTTGGACCCTTTTGACCTTAATGTAGACCAATTTGAAAACGGAACCAAAAATTAAGAATCTAAATACACGATTAGATTCGGCATATCAAAGAACCCCAATAATTCAATTTTTGATGAAATCAAACAAAGTTAAATTTTGGACCCTTTGGACCTCAATGTGGACCAATTTAAAAACGGGGCCCAAAATCCAAAAACTTAATACACGGTTAGATTCAGCATATTAAAGAACCCCAAGAATTCAAGAATAAAACCCCATTGAAATTGATCAAGAAATAAGCAATTTATACGAAGTATCTTCTTTTGCACAATACTGTGCAATTGAATATTTCTTGCTATTGTGCAATACTGTACAATTGACAATTTCTTGCTATTGCGCAATATTGTGCTATTGGATATTTCTTGCTATTGCGCAATACTGTGCAATTGAAGATTTCTTGCTATTGCGCAATACTGTGCAATTGAAGATTTCTTGCAATTGTGCAATACTGTGCAATTGAAAATTTCTTGCTATTGCACAATACTTATTATATAATAATTTACACATCCTGTTTGGTGTGTATCTCCTACCATATCATTATTATTTGCTTTTAAATATTAATCAGAAATAACCAACTTAAAATGGAAAATTTTAAAAGAAAAAAAAAGGAAAAAAAGAAAAAAAAAGAAAAAAAAAAAATCCCCCCCCCCAAATTTTTTGAACCCCCTTATGATTCATCACCCCCAAACTCAATCCCAGCCTTCCCTTTGTGGTATGGTACCTTGCAGTACAATTTCAGAGAGATCCATACACTTGAACACAAGTTATTGTCTGGAAACTAGAAAAATGCTTATTTTTGGCCCCTTTTTGGCCCCCAATTCCTAAACGTTTCGGGCAATAACCCCCAAACTCAATTCCAGCTTTCCCTTTGTGATATGGAACCTTGTAGTACAATTTCAGAAATATCCAAACACTTACACACAAGTTATTGTCATGAAACTAGAAAAATGCTTGTTTTTTGCCCCTTTTTTGGCCCCTAATTCCTAAAATTTTGAGGCAATTACCCCCAAAATCAATTACAGCCTTCCCTTTGTGATATGGAACCTTGTGGTACAATGTCAGAGAGATCCATACACTTACACACAAGTTATTGTCTGGAAGTTACAAAAATGCTTATTTTTGGCCCCTTTTTGGCCCCTAATTCCTTAACTGTTGGTACCATAACCCCCAAAATCAATCCCCACCTTCATTTCGTGGTATTGAACCTTATGGTAAAATTTCATGGAGATCCATTCACTTAAACTAAAGTTAGAGTGCGAAAACCAATGTGTCTTCGGACGACGACGACGACGACGACAACGACGACGACGACGACGACGCCAACGTCATACCAATATACGACCAAAAAATTTTCAATTTTTGCGGTCGTATAAAAAGTGTGGAAAACTGGTTTGCTGGACTGACGGATGGACAGACAGACAGAGTACAAACGTAAAGTCCCCTTCGACTTCGTCGGTAGGGGACTAACAAGCATTCTGTGAGTATTGCCTGGCAATTCATAGTCCCCTACCAGTTAAAAATTCATTGTACTGGAACAAAATGCTAACTTGATCTATAACTTATCATGGTGCAAACTATATAACAAATATCAAGTCAATATCTTCAAGCATGACCAAAAAAAAATGTTGAAAATTTATTATTTGAGTGAATTTTCTAAGTCCAAGGACCATAACTCTGTACAAAATCATCAGTTCGGAACAAAATTCAAACTTGATCTGTAACTTGTCACGATAAAACTATATATCAATTTTCAAATCAATATCTTCAAGCATGATGAAAAATAGTGAGGAAAACTGATTATTTGAGTGAATTTCTAAGTCCAAGGACCATAGCTCTGCACAAAATCATTAGACTGGACCAAAATTCGAACTTGATCTGTAACTTGCCAAGTTAAAACTATATACCAATCATCAAATCAATATCATCAAGCATGACCAAAAAAAAGTGTGGAAAACTGATTATTTGTTCAAAGACCATAACTCTGCACAAAATCGTCAGACCAGAACAAAATTTAAACTTAACCTGTAACTTGTCATGATAAAACAAGACACCAAATATCAAATCAATATCTTCAAGCACGAAGAAAAAAAATGTGGAAAACTGATTTGCAGGACTGACGGATGGACGGATGGACAGAAAAACAGAGTGCAAACCTAAAGTCCCCTTTGACTTCGACAGTAGGCGACTAATAAACTATTTACAAAGAGATATGTCTTGCCTATAAGTCATGCATGTTTTTGGATACTATGGTTCAAAAGTTGAAATCAAAATGGCAACACATGTTAACAATGCAAATCTTCAAAAGTCAATAGAACATGAATAAGGCCAGTGGGGTTGAGCCAAATGATCTCCGTGGAAATGACATGACAATGCTATTTTATTCAACTGCATACCACATATATAAAACCATAAAAGGTTACCTGTAAGCTATATGTAATCTGTGACAAACTTCAACATGTAAAATATGCAAAACATTCATGGTTAATAGAACCAGACTGAAACCAGGGAGGTTGAGCCAAATAATCTCTATGAAAGTTGAACTTGTCTGATCTTAAATATTACTTACACTTCATCTATATTGGGATGAAATATCCTGTTCATAAAACCTGAAAAATATTAACTTTGATTAAAATTGGATTATTCAGCAATAAGTTTAGGACAAAATTGAATCTTATAATAACTAAAAATAAAAACATTTCTCACATATCAACATCTTTATACAATAATTTTTGGGGGTAAGAGGATTGATCATATTTTAATCTTAATGCAAAGGTCTCCAAATATTGAAATTTCAGCAGGGTTTATGTAAAAAGTTCAAATGCTTCATAAACTGTAATACAAATATAACATTGTTTATAAGCCTTTGAATTTCTAGAAATGTCAGAAGATTTTTTTCCTTTAAAATGCAAGAAGTTATATAATTTAAAGACTTTTAAAAAAGTTATATATGACCAAAATACAATTCATTTTTTATTAACATCTCCAAGACTAATTTGTGAACATCTGAAAGATATCATATGTATCATAAATTTACAATACTTAGGTGTAGGAGCCAAAAAAATCAATCATACCATGTTTGTCAAGTATCTTATAATATTAATATATTATATATTATATATTAAATATATATAATTTGGTCAGACATTTTAAATTTAATGGCTATTCATTTTTCTGTGTACAATTTTTTTTGTTAAAAAGAACATCTTTTTTTATCTCAGATATATATTATAACTATTCAATAAGAAAATCATTCATAAATATGGTGTGTCTGAAAGCACTTTTCTTGATTTACCTTCATCAAGAACGCTCAAACTCAAAAATTTGAAAGACAAGGATGTATAAATGGTTGAAGAATTTAGTAGCTTTATAACAAGAGACTTAAAACAAATACTGTGGATTCATTATTTTTCGTTGGATACCAATTTTTGTGGATTTCGTGGGTACAGGTGAACCACGAATTTAAATGTTCAACGAATTCCAAATTTTCCATTGGCCTGTATGCAGACTATGGTAAAACCACGAAATTAAATATCCACGAAAGTGTGAGTTTTTCACAATCCACAAAAAATGGTACCCACGAAAATAAATGAATCCACAGTAACCAAATCCACTCATAAGTATAAAAACTAGAGGCTCTCAAGAGCCTGTGTCGCTCACCTGATTCTACTTAGGTTTTAGAAATCATGTAAAAATAGATTAAAATCATAACAGATACCCTAATAATGATGAAGGCCAAATTTGGTTTAATATTGGCCCTGTAATTTAATCAAAAGCAGAAGAATTTTTGTAAAGTTTACAGAAATTACCAATAAATTCATTGAAATTGTAGAAAATAACTTTATAAGGACAATAACTCCAACACGATGTCAATTGACAATTTTGATCATGTTGACTTATGTGTAGATCTTCTTTTCTTGATATTTTTGCAGTTTACAGTATATCTCAATCTATGAAGATACATGTATTAAGGTCTTCATCAGCAAATCATAAGGAACATTTATGGCATGTTTGGTTTCATTCCATTCAGTGCTCCTCTAGAAGACACATTTGTATGTATTTCCCATAGGGTCTTGTGTTAAACTAAGTCCCCTGCTGGCGGCCATCTTGGATGATGGTTCGGCTACAATGTAACAACACTTGGTCAGCACCTCGTTAGGAACATTCATGCCATGTTTGGTTTCATTCTATTCAGTGGTTCTCTATAAGAAAACACTTGTATGTATTTCCTATAGGGTCCTATGTTAAACTTACTCCCCCTGCTGGCAGCAATCTTGGATGACAAATCAGCTACAAAGTAACAACACTTGGTCAGCACCTCAAAAGAAACATTCACACCATGTTTGGTTTCAATCCATTAAGGGGTTTTCTAGGAGAAGACATTTGTATGTATTTCCCATAGGGTGCTTTGTTAAACTAAGTCCCCCGTTGGCAGCCATCTTGGTTGATGGATTTGCTACAAAGTAACAACACTTGGTCAGCACCTCATAAGAAACATTCATGCCCTGTTTGGTTTCATTCCATTCAGTGCTTCTCTAAAAGAAAACATTTGTATGTATTTCCCATAGGGTCCTATGTTAAACTAAGTCCCCGCTGGTGGCCATCTTGGATGATTGATCGCCCACAAAGATACAACAATTGGTCAGCACCTCATAAGGAACATTCATGCCATGTTTTATTTCATTCCATTAAGTGGTTCTCTAAAAGAAGAAATTTGTATGTACTTCCCATATGGTCCTATGTTAAACTAAGTCCCTCTCTGGCGGCCATCATGGATAATGGATCTGCTTCAAAGTAACAACACTTGGTCAGCACCTCATAAGGAACATTCATGCCATGTTTGGTTTCATTCCATACAGTGGTTCTCTAAAAGAAGACATTTGTATGTATTGTCCATAGGGTCCTATGTTAAACGAAGTCCCCTGCTGGTTGCCATCTTGGATGATGGATCAGCTACAAAGTAACAACACTTGGTCAGCACCTCGTAAGGAACATTCATGCCATGTTTGGTTTCATTCCATTCAGTGGTTCTCTAAAAGAAGACATTTGTATGTATTTCCCATAGGATCCTATGTTAAACTAAGTCCATCTGGTGGCCATCTTGGATGATTGATCACCTACAAAGTTACAACAATTGGTAAGCACCTCATAAGGAACATGCATGCATGTTTTATTTCATTCCATTCAGTGGTTCTCTAAAAGAAGACATTTGTATGTATTTCCCATAGGGTCCTATGTTAAACTAAGTCCCTCTCTGGTGGTCATCTTGGATGATGGAACGGCTTCAAAGTAACAACACTTGGTCAGCACCTCATAAGAAACATTCATGTCATGTTTAGTTTCATTCCATTCAGTGGTTCTCTAAAAGAAGACATTTGTATGTATTATAATTGTCCATAGGGTCCTATGTTAAACAAAGTCCCCTGCTGACGGCCATCTTGGATGATTGATCGCCTACAAAGTAACAACACTTGGTCAGCACCTCATAAGGAACATTAATGCCATGTTTGGTTTCATTCCATTCAGTGGTTCTCTAAAAGAAGACATTTGTATGTATTGTCCATAGGGTCCTATGTCAAACAAAGTCCCCCGCTGTAGGTCATCTTGGATGATGGATCAGCTAAAGTAACAACACTTGGTCAGCACCTCGTAAGGAACATTCATGCCTTGTTTGGTTTCATTCCATTCAGTGGTTCTCTAGAAGAAGTTCAAAATGTAAAAAATGTAGAAGACGACGATGACGGATAACTGAGGCCAAGTGATGAGAAAACCTCACATGGCCCTTTGAGCCAGGTGAGCTAATAAGGAGATGAGGTTTGATTGCCAATGAGACAGCTATCCACAAAAGTTCAAGTAAAGTGGATGTAAGCAATTATAGGCAACTGTACGGCCTTCAACAATGAAGTCAACTAAGTCAAAGGGAGTTGGAACTTACTAATTTCTAAATTTATCAATGGAGAATTGAAGAAAGGGATAAAATAAATCATGTTAGTACCCAAGCTCTGACTAATGAGCTGATGAAACCTTTGGGACTATAAGTTTCAGTGCTAGACAATGAAAAGAACACTTTGTAAACAGTCTCATACTAGTAAATGTAAAGATCACTTTGTAAACAGTCTCATACTAGTAAATGAAAAGATCACTTTGTAAACAGTCTCATACTAGTAAATGTAAAGATCACTTTGTAAACAGTCTCATACAAGTAAATGAAAAGAACACTTTGTAAACAGTCTCATACTAGTAAATGTAAAGATCACTTTGTAAACAGTCTCATACTAGTAAATGAAAAGATCACTTTGTAAACAGTCTCAGTGCTAGACAATGAAAAGAACACTTTGTAAACAGTCTCAGTGCTAGACAATGAAAAGAACACTTTGTAAACAGTCTCATACTAGTAAATGAAAAGAACACTTTGTAAACAGTCTCAGTGCTAGACAATGAAAAGAACACTTTGTAAACAGTCTCATACTAGTAAATGAAAAGAACACTTTTTAAACAGTCTCAGTGCTAGACAATGAAAAGAACACTTTGAAAACAGTCTTATACTAGTAAATGAAAAGAACACTTTGTAACCAGTCTAATACTAGTAAATGAAAAGAACACTTGGTAAATTTCAAAATAATCCATGAGTAAGTTTATAAATATTATAAACATTTCAGACTTTATGTACATGTATAACCCAAAATGTATTTTATGTCTCCAATCTTAAAGTGCAGACATTTAACATTATGACTGATGTAAGCATAAAATATGCACCAATAAAGCAAGGATGTATAATATGTAAATGAATAGCTGTCTATTATATCATGAAATATAAAACATACATACATTATCTAATAACAAACCCATAAAAAATGTATATGATGTTAAAATCAAATACATCGTTACATGTGCAGATTTCATAAATTCTAAAATCAGGAAGTTGTTACTTATAGCAAACAAATATATATATATGTATACATGTACAGCTTTAGTGCCTATTTTTAGCTGTTACTTAATAGGTTAAAAATTATGTCAAACTAATTAGAAAAAAATATATATGGGCTTCCTCATTTGTGTCTGTAGCAGCTTATTTTCTTGTTTATGTTTATTTTTTCAGGATCAATTAAATTCAATAAATAAATTATTTAAACAGAAAATCATTTCTGAAAAGATGATAAAACACTAGAAAAACCCTTCTGTTTAAACATTTGAACAATTTTGTAAATCTGACATCCTGCATGGCTAAAATTATATTTTACAGAAAAATGTCATTATTTCTCAGCCCCAAAACTTTAAGTGTGTTCACTGTTGATTAACGAACATATGTGGCTCAGGCTAGTAGATTGGCAAAATATTTTGGTTCTACAGTAAGAATTGGAATCACAGCTTTCAAAATAAACTTGAACAGTATATTGTAAAGACATCATCAAACTAACAACAATAAACAGCTGCGCCATGAGCGCATGATACGCCCGTCGTCTTGTGTGTGAATTTTTATGCAATAATCATAAATAGTTTCTGACATACAGCGCAACATGCGAAACCCCCCCCCCCCCTTTTTTTTACAAAAAAATCAACATCTCTAAATTAAAATTCTGAATCAATACCAAAAAGTATACAGATCTTCAGATTAATATAACTGAGAAGTGTGTAAATTTTTAAGCAATAATCATAAATCGTTTTTGAGATATGGCGCAACATGTGAAAAACCACTCCCCCTTTTTTTACAAAATACTCAATAACTCAAAAACAAAATTTTGAATCATCACAAAAAAGTTTACAGATCTTTAGATTAATATAACTGAGAAGTGTGTAAAATTTTAAGTAATAATCATAAATTGTTTTTGAGATACGGTGTGACATGTGAAAAACCCCTATCCCTAGCTTTTTTTACAAAATACTCAATGCGACATGTGAAAAACCCCTACCCCTTTTTTTACAAAATACTCAATAACTCAAAAATAAAATTTTAAATCATCACCAAAAAGTATACAGATCTTAAGATTAATATAACTTAGAAGTGTGTAAAGTTTTAAGCAATAATCATAAATCGTTTTTGAGATACGGCACGACATGTGAAAAAAAAAACACACACCTGTTTTAGTTACCAAGTCCTGTAACTCAAAAAGTTTTAATCTTATTTTCACCAAAAAGTATACAGATCGTTTGACCATCATAAGAAACAACTATTTTAAGTTTCATGAAATTTGGATAAGTTGTTCTCAAGTTACGGTGTGACATGTTTACGCTGGACAGACGGACAGATAGACAGACGACATTTGTATACCATAATACGTCCCGTCAAAATTTTGACGGGCGTATAAAAACAAGGAAATGAATCCATGCCTTATTGCATATGATTGTTTCTATTTGGATTTGATATAGGTCTTGAGCTGTTTTTAAAGAATATATGTGTCGAAATCAAAATTCCTAAAGTGTAGAACTCAGGCATACATGGATATAAATAACTACAACTTGAATTTTTTTGTATGAGTATTATAATTTCCATACCAGCAAATATTCAAAAAGTGCTATGTAAAATTCAAATTGAGTTAACCACTTACAAAAGGTTGTATGAGTTAGGGTGTAATATCATATCATGCTTACCAATAGAGGGGGACTTAAATTCAAATTGAGTTAACCACTTACAAAAGGTTGTATGAGTTAGGGTGTAATATCATATCATGCTTACCAATAGAGGGAGACTTAAAAGGGTATTTCTCTGGTAAATCTACTCTCACTTTCCACACTCCTCCTTCATATGGAGCTACAAATACACATAAATAATTTATTCAAATAAAAGATATCAGATATATTTTTCTTGTAAGATATATACTCTGCTACATTTTGTTTGTTTCATACTTTTCCATATCTTAACTTTAAAAAGTCTGCAATGCAATTTGATTTAAATAGATCCTGTGTTCAATCGCTCAAATTGTTTCATGGATCTGACAACGCTTCATTGAACTTTCTGTTCTGGAAATTATTATGTTAACCAATGAATTATTTTACCCCCTCTGAAATTTTAAAAGACGTATAAATTAAGACAAAACCTGAGTTTCCTGTAACAGTCTTCAAATTAAAAGAACAGAACAGTGAAATTAGATCCTTGTAAACAAGCATGGACATAGGATATATATCGTCGCTGGGCTTCAAAAATGTTGTATATGATTTATTTTGCTAAAACTACTTTTTTACACAAAATGGCTTGGCGGGAGGAAATCTCTGATGTTCCAAAATATTATACATTGAGAACAATCAAAACATTTGAAAAAAGACATGTGACAAAATTGCCAATCTCATTTTTTTGTGAAGTTTGCTTCCAAAATGTTGTATGTAAACTTGAAATTGTTGTATAGTGGCTTTAGGAATCTTTAACTTTTACATTTCTTTATTTTTGTGAAAAGAAGGTTAGTTTTTGTGTTATCCAGAAATATCCAAGTTTTTATTTCTCAGCCAGTTACAAAAATGTGCAAGTTCAAATACGACATTTTGGAAACATGCATTTTAACCAAATTTTCAAAGCCTGTTTAGGAGAAATTTTTTTGTTGAAAAATTTGTAATTTACTACATTTTGGAAGCCCAGCTACCATATTGCAATCAAATATGTTTTTATCTTACCTCCAATACATTTCTAGGAACATGATTGGTTAAAAGCAATTGCGTGGTGACCGTGTATATTTCATATGGGGTTAGTAGACGAGGCATAATTCAATACACGGTTAGTAGTGGTGTTACGTCCCTTTACAAAAACAACACGGTGTTTAGGAAAAATCTATATGGTTTCAACAGACGAAGAAATTGATGATGAATGATTGAAATAAATTCCTTAAACACATTTAAAACTAACAATTTGTTATTGTTTGCATTTGTTTTTGTATAGACTAATTGAAGCAGGTTCTTAATACTAAGTACTGAAGACTTGATCACTGTGATAGGCCATTAGTCTAGATACCACATGTTAAGATAGTCGGTAAGATAAATTCCTTACACAGTGTGCTAGTGACCTAATACAATATATAAGGTCACTACCACACTATGTAACTAATAGTATTAAAGTAATCTTCATATACATCTTTAATATTCTAATTAAACTTTAATTTGATACACATTTTTCTTGGAATGTCAGTTAACTTGTATTTTATCTTTAAATACATATTCTATTTATTAATACACAGGTTTGTTTTAATTTTTCATGGATTATCAATCAATCAATCAATCTATACATTTATTGTCAAATGAATTAACCATCTGTGTATTTTTGGGTTAACCTATTTTAAAATGACACAGATCGTTTTATTAATAACTCATTTTTATTAATAATAACATCTATATTTAAAATCTGTTTTTCTGTTAATCAATACACATGGTCTGTTTGATGAATTCAAATATGTAAAACTATCTATTTCGATGTTTTTTCTATTGTTCACAAACACAATCAATATTCACAGTTTTGTCAATAATAAGTTTACTTTTCAACTATTTTTAGGTGCTTTTAAAATATTTCGGAAATTTTAAGTCTTATGAAAAGATACCAAAGAATATTCTACAAGTTTTTATCATTAAAAGAAACTTAGCCATAATTTCAATTCCAAAATATTGGTGACATCTTGCTTGAAGTTATTTATTACCATCAGACCAAAATTAAATCATCAACTCATTTCCACAAAACCAATCTTCTAAAATATATTGGGTTGGCACTGATAGGCCACTACATTTTTTTTAAAACTGCATAAAAGATCCATGTTAGAATGGCCAAAGGCCATATAAAATTTTTTGTTACAAGTAGGTCATCCAAAACAAAAGGCTAACTCCCAATCAAATACTAAAAAGAAAATATTTTTAACATATCTGCAGGCATTACAAAAATAACAAGTTCCAACAACTGTTGGGTTTTGGTACTAAAAGATGGACAGACATTGGTAACATATTATTTGCCAATCTCTGGCAAAGCTTGAGTGGCAAAAAAAGTACATTTGTACAAACAACACTTAATACATCAACTTGCACAAAGAAGGGGTGTAACAATCTAAGCTGATTAAATCTCATGCCAAATAATGCTGACTTAGCTGATAATGACAATGACTTCAGATAAAAGCAACATTTATACTCACTTCCACTAGGTCCATAAAACTTCACGATGAACTCGTTCAATCCTCCTAGTATTGTCACCTCATGCTTGCTTTCAATACTGATGTTGTTAAAGAAAAATTACCAGAATGCAAAACATGTCAAATTGTTAGCGGTAAGAATGATTTAATATCTATAGAGAGGTCAAAATTTAATTTATATTGTTGTATCTCTTAACAAATTATACCATTTCAGAAATTTAACTAAATACGTATACTGATTTGTTGCAATAAATTTCAGAAATTTAAAATGCAGCTCAAGTTTCTTAAAAGGAAGTAACATGAACTAAATAGTTTCGGGACAATGGACATGACACTGCAATAATGCCACACTGCAGATTAATTATAGAATTACTATTCGAAGAATTTAAATATAGAAAAATATTTAACAAGTGACAGAAGAACACCCATTCATATATGACATCACAGGAGTGAAATTATCAGATTTATTTCACATGTGAAAATTTTGGTTTTTATTTCACTGGGAAATCACGGTATTTCATTGCAACCAATGTAATAAACTTTTTTCAAATATAATAAAGTCTTTTGAGAGAAAAAAAAAAAGAACAGAAGACATGAACATTTCAGTATATCTTATGATCAATTCTAATCAATTTTTTTTTTGGAAAAGATCCACTGATTATTGTTTATGTTTCATTGATCTGCCATGATGAAACTTATGAAAAACACAAGTTTAGTCTCAAAGGATTGCAATAAACATGATAAACTCAATTTAATTGGGTTAATGCATTCTTTGTTGTTCTAGCTGGTGTATTACAACAATTGTTTAATAAAAAAATAATATCACTTCACCAAAAAAATACTGCATTGTATTGCATGGCTAAAAGGGAAATTATTTGTTCCAAATTATGCTGAATGAAGCAATCTCACATTGTTAAATAAATAACCAATCAAAATATGATAAGTGGCCAATTTACTTAGTTGTATCTTAATAATGTTAATATGTGATAGATCATGTAACAAATTTTCATGTGTGAATAGATTATGTAATAAATTCTCATGATGCACTTTTAAGTTCTGTAAAACTTGAATGTTGGCTTTTGATGAAGAAATAGGTTGTTACCTTCATAAGAAATTGGGGAAAATGATACATGTATATTCCATTCGTTTATATTTTTTTTTACTTTCTTTGCTATCATTATGCAGAACAACATTTATAAATGGTGGACTTAATAACACTCACAGGAGATTTTTCAATATGATCTTGAATAAGATTTCTGATTCTGTATCTTAAAGTTTATATAAACCATGATAACCACTGTTTTCCTCAGGGCCTATTAGCATCATGGTAACGTGATGCTATATTTCATGAATATGCTGCTATCTGAAAGGATTTTCTTTTAATTTTGTGGTGAATATGATACTATAGTTTCTCAAACAAAAATGCAATTTCGAAATTTCCAGTTTTCAAAGATGTTGTAAGAAATTTGAGGAGAGGATAGCAACTTATAAACGATACCTAGTTTTCTCCACAATACATTGTATATCTAAAATAACACAATAAGATCTTAAAAAAGCACTGTTTCCCTTAAATTACAGAATCAAATTTATCATACATTCTATTATAGAATCTAAATATATAGAACCATGGGACCATTTGCTACTAAACACTAAACAGCCATCCATCCTTTTTGCATAAATGAATAAATTGCCACCAGAACAGGAAATAAAGGTTTCTCGTTACATGAATGTCTGTAGGATCACAGGTGGAAAGTGGGGGAGGGGAAAGAGTTTGGTATCAAAGTTTAAATCATTTATTGTTTACAGATGACATGGAGTCAGTTGAGATGAAATCTGATTGATTGATTGATTTTTGGTGTTTTAACGCCACTTTCAGTCCTATATAGCTTGCTGTTCGGTGTGAGCCAATGCTCAGTGTTGAAGGCCGTACCTTGACCTATAATGGTTTACTTTTATAAATTGTTACTTGGATGGAGAGTTGTCTCATTGGCACTCATACCACATCTTCCTATATCTATAGGCTATTTCATGGCTCCCAGTTTTTATTGGTGGAGTAACCTGAAGTGTCCAAAGAGAACCACAACCTTTGGCAGAAAACTGACAATCCTAGTCAATTAAGATTGAAGTTGAACACACACGACAACTACTAGATTCAAACTCACAACCTCAGTGTTGACAGGCTTAAGTTATACAGTAGCTGAACTTCTTAGACCACTCGGCCACCAAGGCCCCTGTGGTTAAATCTGATCAAATTGCTTATTATGTACTCTGGAAAGTTCAGCCTTGGTGTATTAATCTAGGACACAAAATCTTATATACACACTTAAAAAAACCAAAGCAATAGAAATGTACTTTTACTGCTCTTCACCTAAACATCACAATGAGGCTTTCAAAACAGAATAAAAGCTTGCTCACTCCTCACTGGCCAGTCACTGCTATTTCACAATGACCCCTTGCACCAGTTTTGCAAAATTCTTTGTTCAACATTGATAATACTAAATCTGTGCATTAAAGAACAATAATAAATGATAGATGTGGAGTTTCATGCACAAATTACTGACATACTACAAGCAAAGAAATCCAACAAATAATATCATCATTTGTAGTTGGAAACAAGACTCAAATGTTTTTTTTTTACTTGTTCTGCATTGAAATTATATACAAAAAAAGATTGGAAAGATACCAAGTTGGCAATAAAAACCATAAGTCAAGAAAACATAAAAAAAACCAACACATTAAACCTACATTTTTGTAACACAGAAAAGCTGAAAACCAAAGATTTAGCATCATAAACCCACCAAAAACTCTGGTACGCTGCAAAGGTAAGCAGTTCATGCTATATTAGTATCCCTAGTCCTGTTGCTCATGGGAAGTAAATATTAAATTATAAGTCCCATTTGGTGATTTAACAATCAAGGAAAAGAGGACTGGATTGTAGCTACAACAAGGTGAATATATCCATGCATGCTCATACACGTTTGTGACACAGATTTCCGTAACAGTAAACAAATGGTAAATTGAATTTATTTTAGCTTATGTACAACTTAATCCGGGCTTCTATAGTGTTTATGACTTTGGGATCAGAAATCAACTCCAAAGTAAAGCTGGAGATATTTGAGTGTGACTTCGTAAGAGCCAATTAAGTACTTTGAGCTTGTTTTCAGTAACTGCAAGTATTTTTTTTTACTTTTACCAGTGATTATTTTATGTTAAATCTATTTTACCAGTATTATACAGATAATAACATTTCAATGTTGTTTTTTATTGTCCATTCTTTTGTTATTCCTATTGGGAAAATACATTGATGCATGGTACTTGGGGAATTTAAACCCTATATCTTGGGGATCTAAAGGCAGCGATCTTACAGAATGAGCCAGAGAAGATCTACCCTAACGCAACCACTTAGACTCCTTTTATACTTCCAATTATACAACTCTCTTCCCCCTTTTCTTTTTCCAAGCTGCATACATGTACCATCCATTTGAGTAGCTGACAAGTCCACCAGTGTATAAACCCCAAATTTCTTCACTTGGAACTCTGGCTTGTTACTAACATGTCACAGTCATACCTAATGATCTGGTCATACCTCATGACCCTATCTATTTAACTGCTAGGTACTCACTGACACTTGTATGTAAGTAGATACATGGATGGTCCCTGCATGATTCAACTCCTCAATCTCAGGATCTAAAGGCAGCACGTACTCTAATTACTGACTGAGCTTAAGATGATCTTTGCTAACTCAACCAGTTAGACTCCCTTTATACATGTATCTCCAATTATACATCAGTGACACATCTCGTTACAGCAGTCTTTGTGCTCCACCACAGGCCTGTAAAAATACTTTCGGCACTGTAAAAATCGTCTCTATACAGGCCAACAGGATAAACTAAAATTTTCGTAAAATTCAGCTTCGAGCCTGTAGATTCAAAAATTTATCGTGAAGACTGGAACTTACTTATTTAGATTAAAAGGGAGAGGGATCAGTGTTAACAAATAGTTAAATCCTGCCATGATCATGATGAAAGCTAGGTTCCTGTGTTTTTCAAAGTCAGGAATCTTATCTTAGATAGTGAAATCTTGATGTGTTTTGTTTTTTGCCTGTGAGGGATTTTTGTGTTGATGGCATAGCCTTATCTTAGGCTTAGCCATCATATTAAAGCTCCTTTTCTTTTATCAAAGATCTAATCTCATAAGTGGACTACATTGTAAAGAAAATTGTTATGGCAATTTCATTTTTTTTCTTTATCTATTTAAGAGCATACTTAAAAATTAATTGATACGACACATTAAGTTTTTAATATCTTCGATAACAAAAACGTGAGAACTTTGAGAGTCACACACCCAGCACTTCAGTATTTGTTTACCTGGTTTACATAAAAATAAATTTTGTGTAAACGTGTGTAATGCATGCCAAATCAGGTCATTGAATTCTTTCTAACATATTGTACATTATAAACCTACTTAAAAATTGAAACTTAAACTTTTATTTTGCAGAAAGACTTATTTACACATTGCAAAACTGATATGACTATAAAAGGTAAGTGATGAAATGTCCTCAACGAAACCAAACCCTGGCCAGTTGCTGGCGACTTTTAGACAGCGGAAATATCTCGAAAAATATACACATCGACACAAACAATGAACATCTAAGGATACAGCTTCACAACATCAGTGTCCATTCTTCTCTTTCCTGGGCTTGGTGAAGACATTTCGTTCAATATAACTTATTTTCTGGAAAGTTTTATTCGTCTGCAATCTGTCCTCAAAACAAAAACAACAATGATGGCGGATGTGGAAATCTATGCATGACGATAGGTCACATGGCCATCTTAACTCCGCCCGTATTAGATAGTTATTTTTGTTATTCACACTTTAGAACAATAACTGCGTCTATCAATTTAGTTTAATTATAAAAATTTATTGTAAAATTGCTATATAGAACTTCGATTGTCTTTATTTCTTCAGAAACCGTGAAATCCTAAAGGTCATAGGTCATTATTTTGTTTGACGTTTATCACGTGACAACATTACCACGAGGTTATGGCGATCAGCTGTTCGATGTAAACAAACAATATGCATTATTTTTCGATCAATTTTTTTGAAACACATGGCAGATAGAATAAATGCTGTTATGGAACATGTTAAAATTATCATAAAATCATTTCATTTAAATAGAAATAATTATTTAACATTGAAATCTATAATTTTCAAGGTGTGTTCCCAAATCTATATTTTTCAAGGTTTGTGCGCACGTAAACTTTAACTGGTTTACCTCACTATATGTTGTGCCTATGTGCGGATATTTTAACAATTAATGTGTTGTTCTTTGTTGGGTTTCTTTGTCGGACAAATCATTTCTTGGTGGCTGATGTGGCCTGTTGTACTGTCCTGTATTGTTGGAAGTTCCAGTTGTCATTTTTACAATGGTCAAAATCAAAAGTTACTCCCCTTGCATGTTTATTTTTCCTTTGTTCATTTATTTAATGGTCAAAGGATGGAAACTATACTGAAAGTTTCAGCAATATAGCTATTTTTACTAAGCCTTAAACTATTAAATCACCGAGCCCATGATTGAGCTGTGTAATCTTTCATATTTACAACATTTATCAGTGGATTGATTCAGAGACATATATAGTACCATATATGTCTCTGATTGATTTTGTTTATTTTGTTTTTCTATTTCCATCTCAAATTTCGTACTGAAAGGTGTGGGCTGTTATCAAATTACATTTATCAACATTTTTAAACCATTCAATACTAAAATTAAAATTTCTATTGAAAGTAATTCCGTTTTGAGTTGTTATTGGCTTGGAACTAGCTTTCAGTAACTATGAGTACTCTCATATTGTTACTTTGTATCTTTAGCGTTTTTGTTAGTTGCTTGTTTTGCTTTGTATCGATCTGATAATACTTCCATGTTCTTATGTTGTGTTGTTATATCACTGTGAGTGTCCCAGGTAAAAGGGAGGGTTGGGCGCCCGGAAACATGTTTAACCCCGCCACATTCTGTATGTGTCTGTCCCAAGTGAGGAGTATGTAATTCAGTGGTTGTTGTTTGCTTCTTTATATCATTTTTGTTTTTTAACATAAATCAGGCCGTTTGTTATCTCATTTGAATTGTTTTTCATTTTGTTGTGTCGGGGCCTAAAGTTTGTATTACATATACTCTTTCATATTCGAATTCTAAGAGCTTTTTAATCATGATGGTATGTCGGGGCCTTTTATCATGATTACATATACTCCTTCATATTCGAATTCCAAGGGGTTTAACCAACTTTCTGACTTTGACCCTGCGAGTAAAATAAAAAAAAAAACGGGGGAAATTGACCCTACCTCTTTTCATTCTTATGAATGTTATTGAAATGTTCATTTATAGTACTAAGACTTTAAGTTTTCAATTTTGCTACTAAACGAATTGAACTTTAATTTGTGCAGTTTAAAGTTTTTTACCGTCAGAAATGGATGTGCTTTTGTCGTACTAATGCTACTTACCGGTTTCATATATTCAAATGAAAGCACCCGATGATAGAAAGTTTGATTTTCTATATCAACTTTCCGACTCAATTTAACTTTGAACTAGAAGCTCTAATGACACTGGCCCCTCTCCAACATTAAATACTAGACTACAATTCATGACTGTTGAGCTATTTTTACTTATAACATTTTCTGTTTTCAGTTTCTTTCTATCTACTTTATTTTTTGACCAAAATACAAAAATGGGTAAAAATCGTCATTCAAGGACAATAAGTTAAGAGGACCTACAATTTCGACAATGGAGACTTATTCTTATATGTTGTCTTGCTTATCATTTTTGCTGTTTACAGTTTTTCTATTTCTGTTATAGTTTTTCCAAAAAATTGAGTAAAAATCAATCATAGACAATAGATCCTATATTAAGGGAGTCGTCATGAAGGAACAATAACTCCTATAAGGAGGCAACAGACGATTTCGTCCATGTTGACAAATTCGTAAAACTTGTCAGCTGATAATTTTTGCTATTTAACATTTCTCTTTATTTATTATAATTTTCAAGATAAAAAACAAAAAACGCAAACAAATGGTAAAATATCATAATTAAAGGGAAACAATTCCAAAAAGGAGTAGACCCACGATTTTGGTCATTTGACTTATATTTGAAGATCTTGTCTTGCAGATAATTTTTGCAGTATTAAAGTTCTGTTTATCTATAATATATAGTGTTCAAGGTAATAGGCAAACATATAAAACAATGGTAAATAAAAGAAAATCACCATTTAAGGGCAATAACACTTAATATAAGGACTCGTCTAACAGCTTGGATGTATACGGACAGTTGGTAAATCTCAACATTTAGAACATTTCAGTCCCAGCTAGATTTTCACTATTTATAGCCGTCTTCATGATAATAGACAAAATTTGCATTTGACCCCTATGTTCTATTTTTACCCATGTAGGTCATGTTGGTTTGAAGACGAGATCACTGGACGTATGTTTTAAACGAGATATTCATATGATGATTGAGACCAAGTTTGGTCCATTTGGCCCAGTACAATTAGAGGAGAAGATTTTTGTAAAAGTTAACGGACGACGATCGACGACGGACGCCAATGTGATGAGGAAAGCTCACTTGACCCTTTGTGTCAGGTGAGCTGGAAAAGAAGATAATAAAAGGCAAATATAACAAAAATGTATGCTAATAGGACATCATGCCCCGCTCACACTATGGCACTATTCATTGAACCGCAAATTCTGGGTCAAAACCCTAATTCGGTATATTTTTAAAAGTTCACATTAGAATGAACATGTGTTTCAATTTGATGACACCACATCTTCATGGTAAACTACTTTAAACCAAACTCTAACCTACCGTAGGATTAAACTTAAACTTTGCTGGCCATACATGAGACGAAAGAATGACCGCGATGGATCACAGACCGGATAACATAATGAACCCTTCCTGTCGCAAGTGGGGCATAAAACATAAACATCTTTTTTAATCTGATTTTTTATCTTGCATGATCGTTTCATCCTCTCTTATGTTTTTAAACTATCTATGTTCCGTACAAATAAATTAACCAATGTGAACAATAACTAGAGGCTCTAAAGAGCCTGTGTCGCTCACCTTGGTCTATGTGCATATTAAGCAAAGGACACAGATGGATTCATGACAAAATTGTGTTTTGGTGATGGTGATGTGTTTGTAGACCTTACTTTACTGAACATTCTTGCTGCTTACAATTATCTCTATCTATAATGAACTTGGCCCAGTAGTTACAGTGGAAAATAATTTGTAAAAATTTACAAAAATTTACAAAATTTATGAAAATTGTAAAAAATTGACTATAAAGGGCAATAACTCCTTAAGGGGTCAATTGACAATTTTGGTCATGTTGACTTATTTGTAGATCTTACTTTGCTGTACATTATTGCTGTTTACAGTTTATCTCTATCTATAATAATATTCAAGATAATAACCAAAAGCTGCAAAATTTTCTTAAAATTACCAATTCAGGGGCAGCAACCCAACAACGTGTTGCCTGATTGGTCTGAAAATTGGTTTCAGAGATATGAGCCAAAAACTGCATTTTACCCTATGTACTATTTTTTAGCCATGTCGGCCATCTTGGTTCGCGGGCGGGGTCATCGGACACATTTTTTAAACTAGATACCCTAATGATGATTGTGGCCAAGTTTGGTTAAATTTGTCTTAGTAGTTTCAAAGGAGAAGATTTTTGTAAAAGATTACAAAAATTTACGAAAAATGGTTAAAAATTGACTATATAGGGCAATAACTCCTTAAGGGGTCAACTGACCATTTTGGTCATGTTGACTTATTTGTAGATCTTACTTTGCTGAACATTATTGCTGTTTACAGTTTATCTCTATCTATAATTATATTCAAGATAATAACCAAAAACGGCAAAATTTCCTTAAAATAACCAATTCAGGGGCAGCAACCCAACAACGGGTTTCAGGGCAGTTAGATCTTGACCAGATTAACAATTTTACCCCATGTCAGATTTGCTCTAAATGCTTTGGTTTCAGAGATATAAGCCAAAATCTACATTTTACCCCTATGTTCTATTTTTAGTCATGGCGGCCATCTTGGTTGGTTGGCCGGGTCACCGGACACATTTTTTAAACTAGATACCCCAATGATGATTGTGGCCAAGTTTGGTTTAATTTGTCCAAATAGTTTCAGAGGAGAAGATTTTTGTAAAAGTTAACGACGACGGACGACGCCGGACGACGACGACGGACGACGGACGCCAAGTGATGAGAAAAGCTCACTTGGCCCTCTGGGCCAGGTGAGCTAAAAAAGGAGAGATTTTTTTGTTGTTGCTCCGTGTTGGAAGCATCACTGTGACTTTGAAATGGAGAACAGCAATAAAAGCGCTGTTCCTTTGCCTTTTGTGTTTTTGCTGTGCATGTACTGATTTTGTGCCATGGATGGATACCCCATATATGCATTCTTTTCTATTAATAAAAACATGAGTATGACCAACCAAATTTCAACAAGACAAGACGAGTGTTCACAAGAAGGTTATGTTCCTTCATGATTTATTTAATAGAATACAAATCTGAAATGTCAAACGATTTACCGAACACAAAAACTACAAATAAAGACCATTGTGTTTAATTTTACAGTTTATTTTTTTTTCAACGTGGTAATGGATTGCGCAGAGTAAGGAAATCAATGTTGTGTCAAGCTGTAATGTAGTTCAAATCTTGAATTTTCCTTGAAAAAGTCATCCTGCAATATCTTTTGGAAATCCTAGTTGAGCAGTAAAATGCATTTTTGATACTCCGCTCTTCAAAAAACAACTCGCAGA